CTGAAATGCTTAACTAGGGGTATGTGTTATCATTTTATCAGTGCTTTGGGAGGAAAAATCTCCGTATTTTTGGCTGATGGGCAACACTGCTTTAGGTTTTCCTTGGTTTAATCACAATTTTATTCAAATAAAACAGAAAAACTTGCAGTGGGTTAGATGTTATGGCTCTAACAGATTTTACACTCTGAGCTGGACACTTGGGGGGGCAAGAGAGACTCCTGACTCCTCATTCTCTGCCACAGATCGACAGGGGCTGCAGAAAAGGCACATCATCTGCCTGCCAGCCCTCTGGGAAATGCACAAGAGAATTATTCCAAACGCTGCTCATTTCTGCAGATGGGAGGAGCTGAGCTTCCCTGACAGGACAAAAGCAGATGGGAACTCAAAGTTCACTGCATGATGCACAGCAGTAAATCGGGGCTTCACGTAATCCACGTCGATGCTTCTGCAAACCTGATCTGTTCACTGTCAGGTGCCTCAGAAACACAGTAAAGCCAGACAAAGTTCTGTACCCCTTTGTTGCTAAATTCAGGGTATTTCTTGTACTGTTTTAAAACTAAGATAACCCCTCATTTCTTAAAATTAATTTGATATTTGTGAAGGCAGCTGAACAGCCCTGCAAACAGATCTTCCATCCTCTGAGTAGGTGTAACAGAAGCAGCAACGTGTCCAAGTTTGTTAACGTGTCCTTGCCTGCTCACCTCATTCCTAGAAAGGTACCACCTCACATTAGGAGAAGCTGCTCTTTCTCTTCATGTCTGTTCAGGCTCCAGCCTTTTCACAGGCCTTCCAACAACATTACCCATTAGTGCAAATTCAACTCTGAAATGTGAAGCGTGACTTTACGGACTGGTGCCCTTTGGAATTCTTGTATGCATGGCAAATGCACTTTTGATAATCTAAAATTTAACATGAGATCTTCTGCTTGTCCTGCAGTTTGCTGGTGCATGGGCAAATGGATACTGAAGGCTGGACATCTTCCCTTCCTGCAGATTCCCAGCTTCTGGAGACAGCCGTGAAAATTCTGGTAGGCAACAACAAAAGCAGCCTCTCACTTTCACCCTCTTTGTTTCTTAAATTGCTGATTTATAAATTCTGAAAAATTGTTTGACTGAGAATTGGTACATTCCACTGCTTTGTAAACAGCTTCTTGCCCATCTTAAAATAACTCTGGCTTTGGATTACACTGGCTGGCATACATTTTTATCTAGTATTACAAAGCATGGACAGACTGTGCACATTCACTTAGTGGTCCATGGAGTGTAGACTAACAGCATATCCAATACTATCAATGTGTTGTTCATGTAGAGCTAGGAAATCCAAATTATACAATGTAAGAGGGTCTTCCTTTGTGCAGCAAGGCTAATGGACCTTAGTGTCACCCATTTATCTTTAAGAAAATGCTTTGTCTTAAAAGAAAAGTGGTTTAAACAGATGAGTTCATGTGGATTTCCCACATACCATTCTCCAATACTCCCACCCACATAAACAGAAGGTGAAAGTGCCAAGATCATTGTATCTAATGCTAAAATGACTGTGTTTGTATTTCATTAATGACAATATTATATATCCAGGGAAATTAGGATTTTGAGTCTTAATATTTAGGTTAGGGCTCCAACAAATCCTATTTTGTAGTTAATGTATGGTTCCAATCTGTATGCTACAGCCAGCACTACTGAGCTCACATCAGTTTTTTCTAAAGCTAATCCCTCCTTTACATAAACCCAAAAATAAGCCCAAAAGGGCTGGATTTGCTTCTGTGAAAAAAAAAAACAACTATGTTATTAATCAATATTAGCTTTTGTAATGAAAACAAAGATTAGTCTGATATTAAATATTTAGAGCTAATGATTTCAATATTATTTTCATAAGACACTTGCATTTTGTTACTTGGACACAACAGGACCAGAAGCCCAGCAGGTACTGTCCTTTAAGCCCATTTCACCCTCACGTTTACTGCCCTTCATGACACAGCAGCACCTTTTATTTCACTACCTGCACGTTTAAAAAGATCAGCACATGCACATCTAAGGAGGAAGACTGAAAAGATAGCAAATTAAAATCTTCTCATAAACATACCCTAATTAGCCTTCATCCTCTTCAGCAGCTATATGGCAGCCACCAGCTTTTTTATTATTATTATTTCAGCTATCATTTTAAGAAGTACAACGTGCCATGTGGGATTCTCCCCGAGGACACTGAGACAAGGGCTTTCCTAGCCTGACTTTCACTGCCACTGGAGTGCAGGGGAACAACCTCCCTCTACAAACTGTGCTGTGTTGCTTTCCTGCCTCCTGGTGGAGTTTCACTCGTACTCCTCTCCTTCCCCAACTCGTCTGCAAACACAGCTGAGCTAACACAGCGCCGGAAGTTAAACACACTAAAATGTGAAGGGCTTGTACCTGCCACTTGCAAAAGGGAGGAACTGGTCACCAGAGTGCCAGGTCTGTCCTAGCACGCTCCTGGGGGCAATGGAACTACCTGCTGCCCCTTCCCTGGGGTATGGCATGATCTGGCAGTGTGCAAATAGCCAAAATGCTATATTTATAGGAAACACAATGCCCCACTGCTGTGATAGTTTAAATATAGAGAACAGGCCACTACTGGCATTTAAAATATCACTAGCTGGACAAGATAGTGCAATCAGAAAATAGCCTAAGCTTTTACTGTGATTCTGTTTACAGGCTTTTCATAACCCTCTGGCTTCTTTTAAATGAGTTCAAACAGTGTCTTCGACTGATTTGGGGATTATGTGATTCTTGAATAAATTAAATACATGACATTTACTCAAAATGAATAATAGGCACCTTTATTTTTATTTCATTAAAATCTTTGGGCTATTTTCATTTTTTTAAGAATGGCTTCTGCAAATGCAGCATGTACATTTGAGCACCTTGCATTCCACAGCATATTTGCTGTTCCTTGTATGTGGCTGCATTTGAAAAGTAATGCCAGCTAATGCACTTCTTATTGCTAGTATTAAAGCCCTAATTACTTTCTACCTGAGTTTCAAAGACAGGTTTCCACAGTTAGTCACCCAGGGTCAAGCCACAGAGCAGCTAGTTCCGTACTGCAGAGGTGCAAGCTAACAAAGGAAGCTTTCCCTCTCCTCTGCCAGCTACCCACATCACTGGTACCAATGCAGTGAAGCCAGCAGGCTCTGCAAGGAGCAGGTCAGAAGCTTACAGGGAATGGGTGACAATCTTCACCTGCTTGCTCCTTTGCTACTCCCTCCTCCCAGCTCGTATGCAGAATTTGTAGCTATGCTGATGTGTCAAGACATATATGCTGAGCTGGGTGTAGTTTACTCTTGAGCAACAGAGAAAACAAAGAGAGACTATGACTCAGAGCAAGAGTCTTCCAGCTAGGCAGCTCCAGGGCAGCCAAATGCACTTTCCCTTATTAGGCCAGATCATGAAACCTTGCTTCATTTTGAGTGGTACCTAATTCTGCATTAGTATCACTGACTTTAATAATCAGCTTTTAAAGTACCACTTAGCAGAGTGTAACTCTACTTCTAGCTTTGCTTCTTTAAAAAAACCAAAGTTGTAATTAGATTCTACTCCACCTACTCTGACCAACATTGGAGAGTGTAAGATGAATCAGGCTCCGCTGGCAGCGGACAGTGGCTATTTAACTTCCTGTAAATGGCATGTTTTTAAGACTGAATTTCCACACTGCCCTCTCAGTTAATGAGGTATTTTTGACTGAATTACTTTAGCGGGCTTCTGAGAAAAAAAAACAGAAAGAAACAGGGCCTCATGCCTCCCAGAGACCCTGCCTACAGCTTAATGGTAAAAACCCATAGCTGATTTCCCTCAATTGAAGTATTTTTGTTCCATGAGGCCAGAGACGGGTGTCCTCAGCCACAATGTAACCCTGCAGGAGGAGCCTGTCACTGCAGTGAGTTCACACAAGAATTATGCAGGCGGATGAACTTTCACACCTCTCCTGCTAGAATGCTCACAATGCTGCTCCAAAAGCTCGAGTAGCCCCATGACTATAAGACATTCTGTGTTCTTACATGGTGATGTTGACTATCAAAATGAAACTAAAGGAAGCATCAACCTTCTACCTACAACTAAGCCATCAGTTCACAATCCAATTATTTCGCAATACTTGTTGCACTACAATTTACATGCTATATTGTTATTTTAGAATAGAGTGACAGCTTTAGATGACCACTCTTAACCTGCCTCTTAAAACCAGACTTCCAGACAGGTTTAAACTTATTTTTTAATTTAATCTCATGATTCAGAATGTAATTTAATAGGTAATCAATTGCCTTGAGCAGCTGTATTCAAAATTTTTCTTCATAGGCTGTAAACATGCTATCAGGTAAAACCAGATTTGTCCATTTCACAAATGCAAGTCAAAGGTAACTTCTGGAGTTAGGTCTGGTTAGCACTCCTTCCTCCCTCGTGTTCATTCTGCACTGGTCTGACTCTGCTGCTTTCATTTTACATGGAGGTAGCTGAAACACGTTTTAGATCCCTGGCTTAAGTGTAAGTTGCTAACCACTTAGAACAACCACAAAGGATTGCTTGAACTCTTCCCAAAACGAGAGGACTACCTCTTCAACATATTGGCTCTATGAACACAAAGTGTGCTCGGCTGGAAATTCAGACGCAGCTGTTAGTAGAAGATTAATGACTTCACAGAACAAGTTAAGATGCTGTAAAGCAAATTTCTGTAAGACAACAATTTCTAAATGTTATAAACATTTCTGTTAGTGACTCCTGGGGCAAGGGGTAGGGCAAACAAAAGGAAAAAAAAAGGGAATAATAAGCCAAATTCTTTCCTCAGTTCACATACATGATACAGCAATGACATTAAAAGGGAGCAAGTGAATGAAGAAATGCACATTTTGGTCTTGACAAGAAAGCAGCTGTCAGACTTCAACTGCAATGGTGTTCTAAAGAAATCTCTATGTTTAAAAAAGTGTATTTGAAACCAGTTACTGCCCTTACATTTCCAGTTTACAAAATCACAAGACTAAATTAGGCTTCTATATTATTTTATTTCCCTCTTAAAATAAAGCATTGAAGTCCTGCACACATATAAATATCCCTACAATTTCTTACACACTTTCTATCCATCATTAAAGTGCCCAACTGTGAACATTAAAAATAAAAACATTACTGTTAAGAGTGGCTATACTTCTAGAAGGACTGGTATTCTGACAGTGCAGGCCACTGATTTTACAAAAATCACCTGCAAAAGAATACACCCTAAACAACACGCATCAATATTAACCCTGAAGTAGTTGGTTGGTTGGTTTGTTGGTTTTTTTTCCCCCCACTTAGCTGATCTAAAAGCCATTAATGTACAGGGTTTATTTTTGAAACATGTCTTTTACATAGTGTAAGAATAAAGGATAAATGCATTACTTTCTTTCTAACCCCCTCCTTCCCCCCGAAGTGTTTACCGTGTCCCAAGCTGCTATGTTGATTAAAAACCAGTTGAAAAGAGCTCTGGAAATGCATGCAACTTAAAATTCACTTAAACACACTTTAAGTTATGAAGTCTGAGAGATTTTAATCTCAGCATGTGGCTATGGTTCAGTTGGATTATTAGATGTGTTTGTCGTAGTGGTGAGATTGGTAAACACTTCTTCCTTAGTTTCAGGCTGATGTCTTTCCATTTTGGTTTGCTCTTTAGCATCTTTATTACTGGTGTCTCCCTTGCTCTTGACTACCACAGGTTCAATCTCCATGATTTCCTGTGGTGGCTTAGGCTCTGGCAAATTTGGCTCAAGTCCATCAACTTGAACAGGTTCTGGGACATCTTCTGCTTTCTGCTCAAGTCTTTCCAAAATGTTCTGGACCTTCCTTACACCATCCCTCCTGGCCTGGCGCACATCCGCACGACCCTCAGGGTCCACTGAGTCTAGGGCTAGCAACTCTTTGGTCAAATACTCTTCTATCATCAAGTATTTTTTGTCAGTTTTCTTGCCTTCAAAGGAGTCGACTGCCTGCTCAAGCATTTGTACTTTCTCCAGAATTGCCTCCACTTTCAGAACACCAGGATGCTTTTGAGGTTCTCCCATTTCCATCGTCTTCGGTGCGGCCGCTTCTTCAGGAGGAGGCCCTTCCTGAGGGGGAGCCATCTTAGCTGGGCAGGGAACCTTTTTATCAGCTTTCTCTGCTGTGGCTGGAGCCTTCTGGGGTGGCAATTTAGGATCTGGTTCTTGGTGGGTGACCTGAATCGGGATATATGACGACGGCACCTCAGCTTCGGGTGGTGGGACTGCCTTGTTTTCAGGTTTGATTTCAGGTGGCGGGGGTGGTCTTGGTGGCTCTTGAGGTGGGACTTGCTGCTGAGAAACCTGGTGAGGAAGGCAAGTTTGTGTTGAGACACAATGAACAATGCTCCTTATTTTCTTCTACAGACCAAGTAACAACATCCCTTTTTCTGTACTTCTAGAAGAGCAACTTTCGCACAGGCCAAATGATTTCTCTCTCCCGTGCACTGCTGAGCTTTACTAGTTTGTGTTTACTGCAAGCAAGCGCTGTACTGAAGAGTTCAGTTCTTGTTTTCAAGCTATTGCAGGTTGCAAGCACCCGCTGACTTTCAAAGACATTAAACTTCAACCCACCAAATCCTGTCCATGCTCACTAAAATCAGCCATACAAGCAGTTTTGTAAAATGGGACCTTACAGCAAAGCCCTCACCTGACTAAAGTCAGATTTGTTACAGCTGACTGCAGCACAGTCAAGATTTCATCCTCAGTGTGTCACTGAGAGCTGGTGGTTCTGGAAAACCTAATTACTTTTCTAAGTTTTAATCACATTTTGGACTATCCTCATCCATTCCTGTTTTCAGGACATTCCTTTTTTTGCTAGTGCTTATCTTTACCAATTATATCTTCAGAGTATTTATGTGCAGAGGTTACTATGTCAATCTCATTAACTGTAGAGATTAGAGACAATCCCTGGGATTACTAAAGATCTAACAAGTCATTAAATAAGAAATCTCTTGAAACTGAGATTAATTTTGAAATCTTAGCAGGAAACAGGTATTCTTGAGATCTGTGTTTTCCTTCCCCTGCCGCTTCCTTCACTTATTGCACACAGACAGTGATTTTGGAAAGGTACTAGATCCAGATCTCACAGATTTAGATGGCTGAATACCTACATTTATATTTAAAGCAAATAAGGAAATGGCCTACACTGACCACATGTTACTGCTTTACCTATTAAATGTAAAAATTTATTAGGGAGCTCAAATCCTCACCCATAAAAATAAATCAGCATTATAACCTAGGATATGCCATTAAATCCAAGTTCTTCCTTGTTTTATGCTAGTACCTGGGTTTTCAAAAATATTAACCTTATTCTGTTCCTGTAATTTTCAACAGGAAATCTCTCCAGAGAGGAAACCAAGGCTTGTTTTTATACATACCCCACTTCTACACACAGTCATCAAATTCCCAGTAGTCTTTAACTTTAATAGGAATTTTAACATAGCAAAAATGTTCAAGGAGCAACATGTTCTAGAAGCAAGAGCACGTGCTTCATGTAGGAAGGATAAAAAGCTCCAAGACTAGGTTTTGCTGATCCTCTTTCTTTGTAACTGAAATTACTTTGTGCATCTGATGCTATCCTAAATGGTTCTGAGACATCAGCAAGGCGTATTTACACAGATGCTGCAAATCCTGCAGACCTGATTTTCTTCTCACAAACATCATGCAACATCAGTGACCTCAGTGTAATTACACCAAATTATACTCTGATGAGAGGAAAAATCAAATCATGTGTTAAATCATATTTCAGTGATCCAAAGACTGCAGTCCTGACAGGTGAAAGGCAACTTGCTGCTGGCATCACCTCAGTGTCTCTCAGCTGGTTTAAATGCAGGAATGGTGACTGCTTTGTGTGCTTTCATGTGCCTGTTAGTACAAGGTGATATTTCAGCTCTAGCCTCACTGAACAAAATACCCAGAAGAAATTCCCTTCCCCGTTTCTACGTACCTGGGGTCTGTCCACAACTGTCTGCACTCTGATGGGAGCTGGGGGCTGTATCTGGGTGGTGACTCTGGCCGGGGAACTTTCACGGCTCGCAGAGCCCCTCTGAGACACCCTGAACGGAGACTGCGCTCGCGCCGCCTTAGGCTCCCTCTCCTCTGGTTGGATTTTGTGGAACACTGGCTGGTGGGCTTGGTATTCGCTCTGCTGGGCAGGGTAGTGTGTCTTCTGTGCCTGGTGGTAGCCTTGCGTTGGCTGACGCTGGATGTTCTCATGGATCACAGGAATTGGAATATAGCCGCGAGGAAGCTGATGGCTTCCTGCGTTGGGTCTGCCAGAGGACTGAGGGGAAACGCTTGGAGAATCAGAAGCTCCAGGACACTGAGGCTGTCACGAAAACAAAATCCATTATTAAATTACAACCATTTTGTGCTAGCAGTGCTTTAAGTTTCCAAAGCGAAAAAGGAGGAGATGGTCATAGAAACTGAACTCCTCTTTCCGGCACGCAAAGGATCCACTTCCTTGTTACTGTGGCCAAGGGCCTCACTAGACAAACCACAGAAGTTGTGAGAGAGCATCATTATAACAAGCAGAAACCTGAGCTACAGCATTCCCAGCCCTCAAATGAGCAGGGAGTGGATGCTCAGTCAGAATGTTTGCTCCTTTTGCACGGCTGTTCCTGTCTAAACCTGTTAAATTTGAGATGAACTGAAGTTAGGCAAACAAATTATAAGCTGGAGACAAAAACAAACCCCTACCAGAGGCACAGGACATTTAGACTTACAATCCCAGTCACACTAAGAGATTTTGGGTTGGTTTTTTGTTTTGTTTCGGTTTGGTTTTAAAGCATGTAATTAATTGGGCAGCAGGCTTTGGCAATGCACACCTGACTAATGCCCCTTTCCCCCACAGCACCTTCGCCCCTTGGCAGGAGCAGCAGGAGCTGCACCAGCTCAGACCTGCTGCTGGCAAGAGCGAGCACCAGGCTCGCTGCAGAACCCAGCTCCCGCGTGCTCCAGCTGCGGGGCTGCGGTTTGGGGAAGGGCTGTTTGTCTGCCCCCAGCTCCTTCCCACCTCCTGCTATGCCAGTCCACCACCTCACCTACTTTGCACCAACTGCAGCAGCTGTCAGGCCAGTCTCTGACCAGTTTCACTCATTAACTAAGAGGAAAATAAAGATTTCCTCATGAGTTCGTTACACGGCTCAGTGAAAGGCCAGGTCAGACTGAAGCTGTCAGGAGAGAGCACAGGAGGACAACGCAGCCAGCACACAAGAGGAGGGCAGGCAAGGCAGCAGACAAAGGGGACTAAGACCCCTCTTTTTGTGCTGCTCAGCTGCCCATGAAACAGCCACCTTAAATAAATAAATAGATAAATGCTGGTTTGTATTATGGTACCCATCACTGCCACTACTGGTGGCCTTGTTGACATAGGACTTAAAGGCATCAATACAGGCTCTGAGCAGTTGATACCCACACTGCACTGCCTAAGTTTGCAACAAGTTTTGAGGTCCTCAGTTGTTCTCAGAGGACTTCAGTAAGACGCACAGAAGCCACTCTGCACATATGAGCCTGCAGTGCTGGGAGGAGAGGCTGAGCCTCTTGTTCCAGCACTGCATGGACAAGGCATTGCTAGTCGAGACAGCTGAGAAACAGAATTTTAATTGTATTGTTCAGACTCCAAACAGGTTTCAGAGGAGAAACCACCACTGCTGAATTACAGACCTGATGATACACTTTCAGCTTGGTGAAGGCTGCATTTCCTGCTCATCTTACTTTGAATAAAAATTGGTATTTCCATGTATCGCAAGAATACCAATTCTCTGCTAATGCTCTAGAGAGGGCAGGCAAGCCAGAATCCCACCTTCTGAAACTTGCAGCAAGCAGGGTGACTTTTTTTGTCTTCAAAGAAGTTCATAATTTGAAAGCATTTTAACATGCCACTGAATGACAAAAAGACTTTACAATTCACTTTTTAAACACAGAGATTTACATATACACAGCTTTATACAGCCGGGACATGAAATTTGAAAGCAAAGATCACAGCAGTAGAACTTCTGGAATCACCTGGCTTGTTAGCTGCTTGGCCACTTCTATTTTTGTCTCTCCCACTTTGTTCCCTTCCGTTTCTGCCTGGTGGTGTGGAACACAAGAGACTTGCCTGTACCCTCTGCGTGTGGGGGAACCAGTGTAAACCCTAAACCAACCCTCCCCTGCTGCAGGACCTGCACGGCTGAGGCTCCCTTTTTCCAGAAGCCATCTGCACACATTTATTTCCCCACAGTCGTTCCAGAACTAAAGCAGGCGAGGCTAGAGAACCCTGAGGTATTTATTCTGCCTTTGCATTTTAACGCTCTGGAATCACTGCGAGAAGGTGACGCGTGGCAAGCCTGGCTCTCTGAAGGACAAACCCCCGTGTGGCACTCGGGTCCTCAACGCCGCGGAGACCGAGGGGAACGCAGCCCGGCGAGGCGGAGGAGTTACCT